TAGTTGTGTTTTTAAAGTTGTAGCAACGTTTTGGCAGAATCTCATCTGCCATCATCAGGCTTCTGTGTAGTGTTCGTTCGTATATATACACACACATACACACACACACACACACACACATACATACACACACACACACACACACACACACATATATATTCTGTCATAGTACATTTAACCTGAGAAGACTCCAAGCATGAACTTAAAGGAGTCAATGAGATGAGCAAGATGCATCTCAGAATGGAAGTGGAAGTAACACCTTCTTAATTTAGCTGCCACCACAGGCATTTAATATGGGGATGTTAGCTGGCTTCGGAGACAGGAAATGGCTCAGTATGTGAGAAGTGTCTTTCTTATTTAACAAATAGTTGTTAAAGTACACATCTCAGCTTCTTCCTAGTGATGTTTCAAAACAATATTTAACCTAAAGAAGGGTTAAATCTATGATGACTATGAACATGAGATAACATAAATAAGATCAGTAGCCATTGTAATAGACTTGAGTTATCTAAATTTTATTAGGCTTTGTCACCCATTATCTTGAAGAGATTGACAAGAGGTGTAGATCAGTTTTGGAAACAACAAATTTAATGCCAGCATAGCTTTTTGGGGACAACAGGGTATGGAGAACACATCAATTTAACAAAATCTTTAAGAAAAATATTTAAGTAATATGCTAGAAGCCATATTTCCCCCTCCCCCCCAAAAAGCCAGCATTGTGATCAGGGCTAGAAGTATGAGGGGACAAAATCAATCAATCAAATGAGATTTAGGTTACCATAAACAAGGCCTTTATCAGGGCAGGATTCTATAGGTTCACACCTATTCTCTAGAACCAGTTGTTACCATTCTAAGCAGTTTGGAGAACCGGTTGTTAGAAGAAATTACTGGCCTAATCCTGTAAGGAAGGCAGGAAGGAAACATTCTGGTGTTGCTTACAGAAACTGCCTCTCCGTTAACCCTTATTACATTCTTGGCAGGACTAGACTTCCTGTCTCAGGAACTTCTCTGGAGTTTTTTTTTCCTCCTTTGCTGGTACTTTCCTTGTGTGGAGTGACCATTCAAAGTTACAGTGGCACTGAAAAAAGTGACTTATGACCATTTTTCACGCTTACGACTGTTGTAGCATCCCCATAGTCATGAGAGGCCAGGCGAGGAGATGCATGCCTCGATGTAAGTGATATTGAGTTGGCCACACCCAGCCAATAACATGACCACCAAGCCATGTCCACCCAGTCACATGACCACCAAGCCATGCCCACCACCTAAGCCACACCCACAGAACTGGTTGTTAAAAATTTGAATCCCACCCCTGGCCTTTATAGAAACAAAAGTATTGTATCTAGATTTACATAAGAAAATTATACATATAGTAAGGAAGTTAGGATTAAACAAAATAAACAAAACAAATATAGTACAGGATTCCTACTTGTTTGCCTCGTTTCCCTGGCCGTCCAGTTGGTCCTCTGTGTCCTGATGCACCAGGTTCCCCCTTTGGACCCATTTCTCCCTTGTTGGGGATGGAAAGAATAAAATCCAAATCTTCAGCGCAAAGATACACACTTGGTGATAAAACCATCTTACCCAAAACTCAGCAGATACTCACACACATGCCAAAAAGATATCCTTCTAAATTGTTTGTGTAAATAATATCAACTAAAGTACATTTTCCTCAAAGAACATTTCCCTGAAAGACAAATTAGTAAGCTGCAACTTAAAATGATGGGGAGAGAATTAGAGAACCCAGAAGAAATACATAATGACCATCACATACGTTGAGACTGACTATTAAGTCTACATGCTTTGCAGGCTCCTCTTATGAATCAGTTCTGCTAATGAACTCTGTGAGTTTCATTTAATAAGTTTACGAATATACAGTAACTCCATTCACTTGAGGAAAAAAGATTAATAATGGTACCATAAGTACACTAAATAATAAAAAGCTTCATTCACTTTCATTTCTCCTCGGTCAATGAAGCCACAATCCAGCATCTTATTTGGAAACCATATATATTTGTCTCGCTGCACTCATTTTTAGAAATGGAAAAGTCACACTTGGGTGTTAACCATCAGCCCAAATAAATGTAAACTAAGGCTGTTCCCAAGAAAATTTCTACTCTATTTAGAAAGGGTTCTAAGCAGTGGTGGGTTTCATAAAATTTTCCTACTGGTTCGGTGTGAGTGCATGCTTTGCATGTGCATTTGTGCTTTGTGCGCGCGCAATGTTTGCAACTCACCTTCTATTGCAAGCCCTGTGTGTAAAACAGCTGATGCGCAGCAATCGGCTGTGCCGCGTGAAGCAGCTGAGGTTGAAAAGCAGGAAATAAAGGTCAGTATAGAGCCAGGGCAGGTGGGAGGGCCCAGCAGCTGATCATTGGAGTGAACGGTTTGCTCACAGATGATCCCTGAAGCTACCGGTTTGGCTGAACCGGGCTGAACCGGTAGAATACCACCACTGGTTCTAAGTTAACTAAGGAAAAAAGGGGAAGCTAAAACCTTTAAGTCACAGAAAACTTTAAGGACTTTTTAAGTCCTTTCCTTCTTTCAGATGGCTTTAAACCCAAGATCAAATGTATGAACATGGGAAAGGAGAGTGAGAAGACACATGAAATGCATGAAAGGTCCTAATGTCCCATTCCCCAATTGCTTCAGGCCTGCCTACTAGTAGCATATGGATTCTAAGTGGGGTTACAATTTTTCTCTTAGGACAGAGAATGCAGTTTTCCTTGAGCATTACTTGAATACCAAAATTAAAAATGAAACAGTGAGCAACGACATTCAGCAGCATCAAATACTTTCATTTTTCTACAACCATTCAAATGAAAATACTTTTTCTCCCTCAAATGATTAACTAGTGTGAAACCACCTTGAAGAATATTAATGGATTTTCTTGATAAAAGAAAATTTGGTCCTTACATTTATGATCAGATGGTTATTTTAACCAGACATGTAAACAATCTAAAAACTCAGATATGATAGTCATGGCAAAAATCCTCTTAGTCCAAATGAAATTAACAAAAGCTGCATTACAGTTCATGTTATTTAATTACACAAATTGTGAAATTTCCAATAGTTTATATTCTCAGCTTTTTAAATAATCATTCAAACTTCACTTTTTTACCTGGAACTGAAGCTGAGACCTGTACTAATCCCATTCTTTTGGATCATTAATACAGTGTTTCTCACTCTCAGTAATTTTAAGATGTATAGATACAACCTCCAAAATGGCTGGGGAATTTAAGAAGCCCAGACATCTTAAAATTACTGAGATTCAGTAAAAATGCATTGACCTACTCAGAAGCCGCCTAATGTATTCCATAGATTTTGCTTCTAAAACTTCCTTAAACTTTCAACATACCTAAAATAGGTACAAAGTAGAGGTCAACAGGTATCCTACACTGATTACACTTTACTTATCTTTTTGGGGGAGGGGGAAGTAAAGGGAATCTATACTCTTATCTGAGTTTCAATAGTGGCAAGACAGATTTGAGTTGGGAATGAACAAATATAATCCATATTTATCTAATGTTGTCCCACTAAAGACAATGAATCTTAGGAGAAAATTGTCTCCCAAAATCCCTTTGTAATATTAACTCTAACACATGTCCATCCTGTGCACAGATTGAGCATCCTGGATGTATCTTACCTTTTGCCCCAACATTCCAGGGAAACCCATGTATCCCTGCAAAGAAAAAGTTGAATAAAAAAAATGAACTATCCTTTCATTAAAAATTTTGGGGAGTTGATCTTGGGTTTGTCTCAAAGGTGCTTTTTCAAAAGGTGCTTCTCATTCAAGAAGCTTCTTCAAGTAGTGACTGCAGCTTCTTGGACGAAAAATGAAATGCCTTCAAGGAAATACAAAGAAAGTCCAGTTGGCTTTTGAAAAAACACTTTGGGAAATCATGACTTGAATGACTGAGAATCTCCATAGACAATTGTTTATTTCTTTATAAATCATTGTGCCCAACTCAGACCATGTGACTTTGGGCACAACACAAAAAGAAAAGAAAATATACCAATAATCAACTAAAACAAATGGCATACTGTATTATACTAAAACTTTCTAAAACAATAAAATGGCAATGAGATACAAGCAAATATGTCAACTTTTGATTTAGTGTAAAGCAGGTTGAAAAATCTGTTTTTCTAATATTTGTAGAACAGTTTTCTACTGTTAATATACAACATACCACATAATCTGTTTGACTGATATAAGGATAGAGATAATTATAGTTATACAATATTTAACCAGTCCTGGGTGAAGCAATTATAATTTGCATGAATTTAAATAAATCAATTGTTCTATTTTAACAATAAATAAGGATGAATGTGACTTTTAAACATAAGTATATCTTAATTCATTGCATTTTGGTTTTATAATTTTGCCATTTTTCACCTATTTTGCTAATCCTCTCCCTGATTTTGTTTTTATAACCATCCATCTTGAAAACATTCCTGAGATCATATAATTTTACATTGAATGTGCATTTCTTCAATTATCTATCACCCATTTATCTTCCCTATTCTTACCTCAGCCCCTGGCTTTGTCCTAGAATGACATCTTAGAATGACATCTTTAATACACTGGAGCAAAGATTGAAAAGGCTAGTGCAGTTTTAAATGCTAACATTATAAAATCTATAATAACTATAATAATGTATTTCTTCAGCTAGAAACCAATATTACAAATCTAGGACTATATAAAGTTCCTTGTACAGAAGTTTCCAGTATCCCAAGAAACACAGTTCTTCCATAAAAAGGCAATTCATCTGGCCCACTATTCTTTATGTTTTTTATATTATCTTTATTATTTTTTATAAATAAAGGCAGCAAAAATTTCTAATTCTCTCTCCTGTTTTCTTGACAATAGTCCTATTAGATGAATTGGGCTGAGAGAAAGTGACCAGACCAAAGTAATCCAGCTGGCTTTCATGATTAAAGAGGGGCTAGAACTTACACTCTCCTAGTTTTTAGCCTGATGCTAGATGCAAACCTGGCATGAACAACTCAACAAGAAAAAAAATATTCCTGGTCTGTATAAGATTGTTTGATACTATAGTAAGAAAATATTACCTTATCACCTTTGCTGCCTTTGATTCCTTTCTGTCCTTGAGCTCCCTGTGGAAAACCATATCAGAGGTATATAACACAGCAGTTAAAAGTATGATTCTGCTCCCTCCAATATCCAATGTTAAATTAAATACAGTCATGAAGATAGGTAAATTTTTGACCTTCCATACAATGGCAGTGGCTATTTATTAGGGTTGGGGTATTCTGGGAGTAGAAGTTCACACATCTTCAACTGGTGAGAAATGCTGTTTTTAAGTTTCTGTTCTTCCTGTTTTGGAAATGATTTGGACTAAGAGCTCTAGGTTTGAGCAAACCTAAGACCATAATCTGTCTGCTACTTGTTAACACACATCCATTTCTCAGGTTTTCACATCCGCTTGATGAAAAGTACAGCTTTTTTAAGAGTCTCATTAGCTTTAACAAGCTGAGCCCTTAAAGCAATTCTACTTTTCTGAAGGGTCACACAGAAATCTGAAAAATGAAATGTTTCTGGTTTAATGAATAGTAGAGATGTGGTAGGGTTGGGTCCACACAGGGGTTAGGATTCCATAAGCATGAACAGTCTGATGTAATCACTCCTTCCTTACTGATTTCCTCTGGACATCTGGTTGATCACTGGGCTGTGAAATTTCTCAGGAGAAGCAGGACTCAGCGATATGAAGAATCATTTTAAAATGAAATACTGAATCCAAGCTGTGCTTCCCTTTCAAGTGCCAGACTGAAGCAAACATCTCTACTCTTCAAATTCCCTGCACAGAAGTCCCCTTCTACTAGATCATAGCAGTGATGCACTGTCATTGAAATGATTCAAACTGAGAAAATGTTTTCTTCCTGAATTTAATTCTTTCATGGTAGATGTCATTCAATATTACTTCAATTAATGGCCTTGCTTGAACAGCACGTGCCACGTATTTTCACTTTATAAGAAAAGAAAAGTTATTAATAATAATAATAGTAATAATTGCTTTTATTTCAGCACTAAATATATAAAGATGTGGAATAGGAGTAGTTTCTGTCAGTCCAGGACAATGGACTCATTTATTCTCTGCTGTGTTATATTGTTACAATTTTTCCTATTTAGATAAAGGTAAAAGTATCAAATCTTTTATCTGGAGAAGTAGATCTTGGAACTACTTGCTAAGATCTATCTAAGAAACTATAGTCCAACTGTTATTTTTCCTTAGTTGCTTATGTAGTAAGAACAACCACCCAGAATATAAACTGTTCTGCTTAGACCCCATTCAGTGGGTGAATAAAAAGAAATAAACACTGCCACCATATGATCAAAGTCATGCCCCCTTTGCATAAGGAAGGCGTGTGAAAAGGGGCAGGTCAGTCATGCAGTTGCTGTCACCATCATGGGATGTATTTTTTTTTGACTCATCTCTTTAATCTCTTCAACCTACTTTACTCCTGAATCAAGTAAAAGTGGCAATTTTAATATCAATTGGATGCAACATACTTATTTATACAGACTAGTACAGAGTGCTTATTAGTAATTTTATCACTCACCTTTTCTCCGGAACCACCTGTATTACCCTAGAACAAAATTTTGAAATACAAAAGGAAAATATAAGAAGCAATAGCATCATACCTCAACCTAAAAGCCAACACAAGAAATCGTGTATAGGAGACACACTTGATATTGCTTTGAACATTTAATAAGAAGCAACAATCAATGCAAGAACTAGCATAATTATAATTACAGGAATCTCTAATCATTATCTTTACCTCTTTCCCCTATCTACATAGATACATCTCTGACGTTGTCTTTTACTGGGCTTTCAGTTAAATTCTAATCTTTGTCGCAACATCTACAAGCATTTTAGTGACACCTTTAATCTTAAATTTTAAAATTAATCTTTAATCTGTCACTGAATTCACATACTGTAAAACTGTGAGTGTTAAATATTAAAAAAATATAAAATCAATATGTACCTCTCTCATATAAATGCAGATGAATATTAAATATAATTTTTGAAAGATGGCATTTTGCCAGCTGGATCAAACAATCCTCATATAATAAATATGCTTGTTTTTCTGAAGTATTGTTTTTAAAATGTACATGTAATTTTTTGATCTATAGGCCATTAAAGATTATTTCTAAAAATTAAGGAACTATACAAGAGTTATCTCTCACATATGAATGTGGCACACTACTTTCTATTCTTGTTTCTCTATATATCATTAGAAAAGCAGATCATGATGTCTACACATTATGTATTTCCAGCATCTCTATATAAATGGACTTAAGGGCAGTCAAGTCAATTATGTATCGAGACATGTTAGTCTAACAGATGTTAAATAAATATATAAGTAAGCGAATAGCCCACTGGGTCAGGAAAAGGCAAACGGTAACCAAACAATGCAAAAAAAAAAAAATCAGTTTAGGAAAAACTTCCTAAAAACTGTAAAGGATATAATTCTGAAGATTTAAGTCCTAAGTAACATTTAGTCTAGCTATTTCAAAGTAAACAGGTAGCATGCAAGCCTCCTTTACATGCCCTATTTTTCTGGAGACAAAGTCCTTACATCACAGATGTAAGAGATCCAACTCCTTGCTTTGTAAAATTCTTTTCCATTCTACATGTAGGGTTTTTTTAAAAAAAATTTTAACTGTGGCCATAGAGGGACTTTTAAAATGTAATAAAAAAGTGCATCTTTGTTTTGAGTAAGGAAAAACTTTGTAAAGGAAATAATGAGAACAGGAAAATTTAAGACTTCTACCCACAGTGCCTAGTGAGCAAGTCCAAAGTCAAACTCAGACATTTATTTTAATGTAAACTCAAAAACAAAACAACAATTGTATGTTGAATACATTGAATGAATGAATGTGCAAATGAGTGAATAAATATGGTCATAGCCAGACTACTTCATTCATTTGCCCATTTTTGTACTTAAAACACATTTAATATATTGTGTAACTCAGCCTTAGGAATATTTATTTTATTTTATTTATTTATTTTTGTCAATTGCTTACAAGATAATAGGTATAAGTAAAAACATAGTTATGAATACATGGATACATATAAGAAAAATAAAAAAGAAATATAAAAGAAACAATAGGACAGGGACGGTAGGCACGTTGGTGCGCTTTGCACGCCCCCTATAGACCTCTTAGGAAAGGGGTGAGGTCAATAGTAGACAGTCTTAGGTTAAAGCTTTTGGGGGTTTGGGGAAGAAACCACAGAGTCAGGTAGAGTATTCCAGACATTGACCACTCTGTTGCTGAAGTTGTATTTCCTGCAATCAAGTTTGGTGTGATTAACCTTGAGTTTGTATCTATTGTTTGCTCTTGTGTTGTTATGCTTGAAGCTGAAGTATTCATTGACAGGTAGGACATTGCAATGTATGATTTTATATACTATACTTAGATTGGACCAAAGGCGGCGTAGTTCTAGGTCTAGAATTTCAAGTCTGGTGGCATAAGGTATTCTGCAACGAGTAGAGAAGTGGAGAACTCTTCTTGTGAAATATTTCTGGACTTTCTCAACTGTGTTAATATCAGATATGTAATGTGGGTTCCAGACTGATGAGCTGTATTCGAGTATTGGTCTAGCAAATGTTTTGTATGCTCTAGTTATTAGTGTAATATTACCAGAGAAAAAGCTACGTAAGATTAGCTTAACAACTCTTAACGCCTTTTTGGCTATGTAGTTACAGTGGGCTCTAGCACTTAGATCATTAGAGATGAGTACTCCAAGATCCTTGACAGAGTTTGGATCATCAACAAGGTCTTGACTATTCAGCCTGTATTTTATTTTCTGATGTTTTTTGCCAATATGTAGGACAGAGCATTTATTTGTTGAGATTTGAAGTTGCCATTTGTTTGACCAATCTGATATATAGTCAAGGTCTTTTTGGAGGGTAGCATATCTGCCCAAGTGGATGCAAAAAAGTCAAGATGACAGCCATCACATTTACTAAAGCCTCACACCTTTTCCATGTGCTTTAAACATGTGATTGCAACCATCATCTTTAATTTTTGAAGACCACCCCTTTTTCCCTTGCAAATGCTTCTGTTCAACTCACATACACTATTACATTGCCATAAGAATCTGGTAAAGAAGAGAAGAAAAACCAGTATTTCCACACTTTATTACAATACTCATTCTATCTATGGAAAAACATTATTCATCCTTCACTCCCAAACATCATAAATGCTATCTGTTTACAATGTACAAGTATTAGCTTCTAATCCAATAATTATTAGACCCCGAGAAAGAGAACATAGAGCTTAGAGTAACAAACCTTGAAGCCCATTGGTCCTCTTGTACCTGGCAATCCCATCAAACCTAAATCTCCCTTTTCACCCTAAAAGAAACAATAGAGAAAATTACTCATAATGGGCAGGTTTTATTGTAATGATTGCATTGGTTGACAGCTGAAGAAAAATTTGCACCATTTCTATATTTCTATATCATGGGAAATTACAATACATAAAATGAGTTCAACACGTTATTTGTATAGAACAATAAACAAATGAGCATAGACTTCTCAGATTGCTCCCTTGCTTTTTTTTAACCATTGGATATAATTAACCTGGATTACACTGAGCCAATCTGATGATTTGTATCACAGCATAAGGCAGGGCTGGGCAGATTCTGATGGCCATTTATTTTTGAAAGGGGAGGCAACAGGATTCAGTGGCCCTGAAACATTTAGGAAGATATTCTATCCCATTTTTTAAAGGGTGTTAAGCTAATTTTTGTTTATGCTCCAAAATTTCTTTATTTCTGACATTAGGAAACTATCCCATCAGTTGTCAGCAATTGCTGATAGATGGAAAAGATTGCAACAAAGAGGATCTCTTTTTATACTTTAAAGGAACAGTTTGCCAGTGATTGCTTCTAAGATGTTTTATAGTAAATTAGTTCAGTTTATAGTCCTAGTATTCGTTGGTAATCTCCCATTCAAGTATTAACCAGATACATCGATTATGTGATTAGCTTCCTACTGACCATCTGTAGCCAACACTCCCACTGTCTTCTCACAGATGCTCTGAGGAAGAAAACATGTTCTGATTGATATAATAATGTCAACCCATAATTTCACTACTTTTATAAAGACAACTATAGATAGAAATTTATACCTGTAAAGGATAATGTTTGTAGCTCAGTGTTGAAATGAGGGATCCTTGGTGTTCTCTGAGCTTGTTTGTTTTCTTGCAGATGTTTTGTGGTCCAAATTAAGTAAGGAGTTGTGTTTTCTCTCAATTTGTATTCTAGTGGCTTGCCCAGTTGGTGTTGGTGGGAGTGATTTTGGTGATTTGTTGATTTTGTTTTTGTTGGAGTGTTTACTGTGGTTTCTTTGGCAGTTCTTTGACCGGGGTATTGTTCACATCTTAGTTGTTGGTCTAACGTTAATCTTGATGTTAAATTCTGCTCATATGGGTGTTGAATGCTGGTGGGAAGATGTTTTGATCTTCCTTTTTGGCTTATTGATTGTCTCTTTGGAATACTTTATCTGTTTATCTCTATGTGCCTGTTGATCACCAATATGTCTGAGTGCCAATCTTCCAGAAATTCTCTAGCATTTTGGATTTTGCTTGGTCAAAGATGGTCAGAGTTTTTCAGTTGAAACTATAGTTAAATTTGTCCCTACATTGAGAAATTAAAGAGTTTTCATCATGTCTTCTGACTACTAGTTAGTGTTCATGGATGAATTCAGCTAGCCTTCTGTCTGTTTCTCCTATATAGTGGCCGTTAGATTCTTCAGACTGTACGCTGCAGATGACTCCTGTTTTTCTTCTGGGACTGCTGAGTATTTTGGTTTACTTAGGATATTTTGGAAAGGTTTGGTTGTTTGTGTGCTATGCTGATGTCATGTAGTTGCAATAGTCTGTTGGTGGTTTCTTACATGTTTTTGATGTATGACAGGATTATCCTTATTACAGCTTGGGTGGGTTGTGCTATATTGGGTTGAGCGGTCAGGCACTTTTTTGAAGAAGTTGCATAGACATCCATTTTGTTAAAAGATGACCTGTTTCTTTTTTCTGCTGTTCAGGATTGCTGCAGGGTGTTTGTTTTCATCTAAATAGAGTTCTTACATAGCTTCTCTTGCTGGATGTTGTATTATTACTGTGGTAGTGGAGCACTTGGTTGGTATGGATGGTTTTTCAGTACACCTGTGTTTCTGTCATGCCCCTGGTGGAGATTGACTCTGAGGGAGAGGAGGAACAGCCAAAAGGGAGTGGAAGTGTGGCTCCGGAGGTTGTGGAGGAGGCTGGGGAAGGGCAGAGGCCAGCTGGGCAGTCAGAGGAGGACCCAGGCCCATCCCCTCTCTATCCTAGGGCATGCAGGGAGGAGAGGATAAGGGAGAGATGTGTTCTACAGGGGAGGATTCTCTTCATGGGCTGCAGCTGTGACAACTGGATAAGAGGACGGATATGTGTATGGGCCAGTGCTGGAAACAAAGTGTGGAAATATCTCTAGTTTATTGTTCCTCTCTGAGTTTGGCGTCCTTCCCAGTATGTGTTCTGATATCTGTGGATGTCTTCAAGTCCTTATCTTGCTTGGTTTGTGTTGTTTTTTACTTGTTATAATTTATAGGCATTTCCTTCTTCTTGTAACTGCTCGTGTAGGAGTTTTTTGTCTCCAGTCAAGGATATTTGGAACTTGGAAGGGAAGGGAAGGAATAAAAGGGGCTTTACCTGTTTTTTGTGGCTGTGTTTATTTTGTATCCCACCCTAGGTCATCACGGTTTCTAATTTGCCATTGTACTCTCTACTGATAAGAATATCCATGAAAAGTAGCATGTTGTTATTTTCTTCTTCCCTTCTGAATTAGTTTCCTTTGAAGATGTTGCTGATGGTTTGCTAATTGGTCCTTTTTATTATGGTAAAAGTGTTGTTTAAACATCTGATCTATATTTTGGGTTGTATGTGTGGGAGTGCTATCAATTCCAGAGAATTCCAGAAATATATACCTATTAACTCTAGGTGAATAATTAATTTGGTTGGATATCATCTGCCCAAAGCACACAACAGATTTTTCAAACTCATCATTTATTAGCAAACTTCCCTTACAGGAAATATCTTGAGTTTCAATAAGATTATAATTTACATTATAAATAACCTGCTTGAGAAATCACTCATCAATCGTTTAATCTTACCTTTAGTCCCATTGGACCAGGCCATCCAATAGATCCTGGCATTCCAGGGACACCTGGAGGACCTCGGCTGCCCTTCAAAAAACAGAAGATGGAGTAAATGAAATTAAAAAAGAAAAGACAAAGAAAAATCAAGTATAATAGCATGGATGTTCACATAATTTCAAAATTCAAAATGACTGTAATAGAGTAACTTCAACTAGCAAAACCTACTTTACACAAACCATCGGAAATTCTTCATGACCATGGGGCACCCAGAAATCCAATACTCATCTGTCACTTCACTGAAGCCATTCCACCAGATTTCAGGAAAGGAAGAATTAGATCTGGCAAGCAAATGGCTGTTGGAATAGGAAGGTCTTGGCCAGGAAGTGAAAGAGAAGGGGAGTCTAACAGATTTTTTGGGACAGGAAGAACTTCTATTTTAACTATAGAGCATAGATATGTTATATCTATATATCTCAGATTGATGCATGTTTTTCAGAGTTTAATGTCATATAGAACTTTTATAACATTCCTATATGCCTTAGCACAAAAGCATATGCACAAAAGCAGCTTCCCCAACCTGAACCCACTTCAGATGTATGGACTTCAATTTTCAGTATTCTCAGCAATTGCCAATATTGGTTGGAGGACTCTGGCTACTGAAGTCCACACCTGGAATTAAATTAAGTTGGGAAAAACTTATAGAAATCAGCCTTCCCAAATGTGTTGTACCGCAACTTCCATCACCCACATCTAGCATGAGCCTGCCGAGTGGAAGTCAGGAGTTGCAGTCCAATACACCAGGTTGAAGATAGTTGCCGCAAGCCTTATAATGTAAGAGATCTTATGCATTTTTTATTATACCTTTCTTCCTGGTCTTCCAAACTCACCCTGTCAGAGAAAATAATACATCAGTAGGAGGCACAAACAATTTTAATGTAGCTGGACATTTTTAATTTGGTTAATTATCGAGAACAGAGGAAAAAAGCAGCATGTGACAGATCTCTATATTCTTTTTTTATAATCAGGACTTCTGTTAATCAGACAGATCACACTTCTTGGAACCAAGATAGAAACTGGTAAAATGAATACTGGGGGGGGGGGGAGTGATGACCCCAAACACTGGGGCTTTTCCAGGTTTTGGGGGAGACAAGTTTTGGGGGAGACCAAATGACTTCCCTAACTTGGCTGAGAAAAATATTTAAATGTGTTTAAAAGACATAGTTAGATTGTTCTTTGTCTAAGCAGGAATCTTGCACAATCGAGATTCTGACCTTTCTGAAGACAGAAAGGATCTGTAGTAAGTCAAAACTGAAGTTTTTCTTCAGCTTTTCCAATTCAACCTATAATGGTCAAGAGAAAAAGTCAGAACCAGAAGGTGCATTCTAAACTTCCACCGTTGAGATATAAAGATAATCAAATCAGGACTACAAAAATTTAGATGGTAGCAAATATTTAATTTCTGAACCTCTTTGCTGCCATGTATATGGATTTTTGAAGCCAGATCTGCTAGCCTTAAGATATGACTTAGTACTCTTATATGTTTTGTTTAAAGTAACAATTTCTGCTGCAAAAATCCAGATTGCTTAAAGTAGTCATTTCTGCTGCAAAAGAAGGTACTTAGAAGGTAGCAAAGGATTTATTTTTAAAAAAACCCTCTTTGCTGCCATTTGAGTTTTAAAGGTCAGATATTGTAATCTTCCTTACAGGTGATCTGCATTTCTACAACAATCAGCGCAATCAGTTTGCATTCCATATTTACATATTTGTATGAACAAATTTCCCCAAGTTTTTTTTTTTTTTTTTTTTTTTACATTAACAAAACATCTTTGGAGCTTACTTTTACTCCCTTTGGTCCTTTCACACCAGGAATACCTTGTGGGCCCTAAAAATAGAAGTATGGTGTTTAAATATCTTCATCATGCACTTTGTTCACTGACTTGCCAGTGATAACGTGTGACTCAACAGAGCTTTTCTTGTTTCTTCTTGAAATAATCTGTACCAAGTTTAGTCACTTCAATTTGTCTTTAATTTGGACAGGAAACTTCACATGCAAATGGTTCGTGTCTGTTTAGAGCAGTCTCTACTATTTTGGTCTCATTAAATGTTCAGTTTTTAGGGCTTTTTATGCCTAATGACAGATGAAAGATGCTTCCAAAAAGGCTCCTGGTAAATTCTGGAATTTTGTTAGCGACTCAGAATGACATTTTCTTACCCTCGTAACTCTGTCCTTTGCCTTCACATCTGCCTGCATATTTGTTTCTAGAAATACTCCTTAAGAAACAGTTAGACCATGCTTTAATTTGGTAGAATTCGGAGCCTTTCATATGGAAAATATAGTGGAGAGATTGGATGGAAGCATGACATCTGGAATTTGGGGGAAAAGTGATTCTGTTTTAGCAAAGCCAATGAAAAAAAGTAGAAAAACCATCTTGGTTACATTTAGATTAGGCTCCCAGAATTGGCCCAGATGGAAATGAAGCTGGCAAGCACATCTGCCTGAACCTTATGCTATATACAGTGGGAAAAAGAAAGATTGTGGCAGCAATAGCCATGTTAGCTTTCCAGACCCCTGGATGTTCTGAGAGTCACCAGTTGAGCCCTAAGTGTGCCAGTGCCTCCACTAGGCCCTTTTCAAAATTAGGTATTTCAGTAGAAAATCAAAGCTTACCTAAGTCTCAAAATCAAAAAGAGGTGGTATGTTCAAAGAGTAGCAAATAATTATAAAGTAAATATCTCTGAAACTTTTAATGTTTCCCCTTAAGACAATCTGGACCCATCAAACAAGAGCTAAGATTTAAGAATCATAGAATTTTCATGGACCGATAGAAACATGGGATTCCTTACTTATTTATGTCATTTATTTAATGTTTAATTACTTGCACAAACAATTATTTCAGCAGTCTATTTAAAAAAATAGTTAAAGCAACTTTTGCCTTGATGGCCCAACAAGTATATTTAACCAAATAAATATAATAAAAATAAGGAGGCTGCTTTCTTTGCATCATTTCCTCTCTTCCTCTCATTGTGCCATTCTATCTTTCTATGCCATCTGACAAAGTAACTTATCAGAATACCTGTCCCCAGTGACCCCATTTTGTCCTTCCAAAATAAAGTACTAACCTGGGGGCCAGGAGGTCCTGGGGGGCACACAGATTCTGCACAGGGAGATTGTGTTATCTGAAGCTCTTGACACAAGTTTTTCAGATCCAGAGAAAACAACATCTAAGAAATTAAAAGGAGGAGAGGAGGCACAAAAGGACATAAAAGGTAAAATCTGCTTTGAGTTGAATTTGACCCTTGACAATTTTATGGATATATCCATGCAATTTTCTTGGTAAGAGCATGGAAGGGATTTGCCATTGTCTTTTTCTAGATGCTTAGCTAAAGCTTTGACAATTCTATTTTGGCTTCCCATTCAAGTATCAACAATGCCTGACTTTACTTAGCTTCTGAGTGCCAGTAGGATGAGGTACAGCTATCTGTTGAATAAATTCCCTTAGATTTGAGCTTGATGACTAGGAACTTCCTGATATATCCATGTATATTTTTTTTAGTAATATTACAAAAATGTTTTCATGGTCTGTTCCTGGAATGTCTTTTCAGCTTCCTGATTCTTCCCATAGTTTCCTGGAGATCTTACATCCAAGAACTAACTGGGTCCAGTCTTGTTTAACTTCCAGGCACAAATGCCCAATACACATGAGCAGTAGTCCAATGTCAGAGCAGGAGAATAAAGTTGTATATTCAGCACCCACATGCCTCTTTCACCCATTCATGGGTCATCTAGATATTTTCTGATTTCCCCAAGTTCTATCCAACATTTTTGGAAAAAGAGTTCTAGCTCAACAACTGGGTTCCCATTGCACTAAGCAATGATTTGATACATAATCTAGAAATAGCTGGATTCACCTATGACACTAAACTCTACATCATGGTTTACATGCCCTAAAGGTCATCATGCTAAGTCATAGCAAGGCTTATCCTTTGTGGGAAATAAGGCTACTAGTGGTTATAAGCCATTTCTGTTACTAATGGAATAGATTTTTCTGGAGCAAATGAGCTGCTACTGAGCTCACCTATGTGTATGTCTGTTTGGCCTCTGTGGAAATAGAATATTGGACTATACTAGATTTCAATCTCGCTCTTCTCACTTTCATTCTACAACACAACTTCCTCAACCAAAATAGACCTTCCTGCTTGTAGCCCAAATTTCAAGTAGCAGATGGTCCCAGAAATAGCATCTCCCAATAAAGCACCCACCATATGACCCGAACACAGGTAGTTCTCTATTTATGACTGTAATTGAGCCTGGGATTAGAGTCATAAATTGTGCTGAATACTAAGTGAGTCCTTGCATGATTTTACAAGCACTTTTGTGGCACTTGTTAAGTGAATCACCATTGTTGTTAACTGAATCTAATCTATTGTCCACTAGAGGTGTTTCCTGGAAAAAAGTCATAAATCACAGTCACATTACTATGGTATGCTGCAAACTGCTGTAAATGTGGACCAGTTTCTGAGCAGCCAAAATGTGACCATGTGACCATGGAGGGCTGTCAGAACTTTGCATCGAAGTCATAAGCAAGACATAAGCAGCCCTGGGGAGGTATCATACAGGGCACAAAGAAACTGGTTTTAAGTTGAGGACTCTCTGTATGGATTATGAAATTTCCACTGAGAGCAAGAAAAGAAGTTCCACTTTTTGCAAAGTATTCATAAAAAATGTGAAGTAACAGTGAGAGGCCGTACATCATTTTCTCTCACCTATTAAACAGAAATTATATAATACAGAAAGGATAGAACTGGCAAGAGACTAGGCTGTCCCTTGCGATATTATGCAATATATCACATTTATACAATTTATGCAATATGGGAATCAGTCCAGTAAATATGCACACAAATAAAGTAGCAAACAATGAAAAGTCTTGCCCTCCTGGCAGTTTTTCATATTAAGAAAGCATAAAATTATAGTAGTTACTGTAGCTTAATTGTATACATATTCTCTCACACATTCCAATAATGTTATTTAAGGTCATTACCCTCTGCTCTGAGTTTAGAAGGCTTTGCACCTTCTCTATGTCAAGTATTTTGATGATTTTTCGAGGCTGTGAAATGTTTTTTTAATTTTAGGTTCTGGCTGGAGATGAGCTCATCCTTTCCCTTCTGAAACAGTGAAAACTGCAGGGAAAGATTCAACACTTTAAAATAGATAATAGATGAACTTTCCAGAGAAGAATGGACGATAATAGGAACCCTGATGGTACAGTGCACAATATTGCAGGCAAACTCTGCCCAAGCCCAGTTCAATCTTGATTCAGCCTTCCATCCTTCTGAGGTCGGTAAAAGAAGGATCCAGATTGTTGGGGGAAATATGTAAATAATGCTTCTACATTGCAAACCTCCGAGAGAATGCTTTAAAGCACTACAGGGTGGTATATAAGTCTAAATGCTATTGCTATAGGGGGAACAACCAGTGGCCAATAGAGCCCACAGGCCAGAAATTACCTATACAGTTTATATTTTCCTGTTGTGTTTATTTTTATTTATTAAATTTATATGACACTCATCTTATTGCTGAGGGAGATATTGAAAGATCATGAGTCAATCCAGAACATGTACTGAAAAAAGGAAAAGGGTACATTATTACCATCTTCAGTGCAAACTCAGTTGCATGAAAATGAATCTTAGGGCATGTCAAATTTTTCACCTTTCAAATTCCAAACATTGTAACTCAAAAGTTGTGACATGCCTTGGGGATTGTAAAGATATTTTGGTTATTTTAATATAATTTAGATGTGCTTGGTAACTAACTACATAAATCTGATAACTTTTTAACATTTTTTGTTTCAGCATATATTCTTAGCACAAGGTTCTTCTGGTGCAGCCTCACCAGAATTATTGACCTCTTGATGCTGCTTTTTATGGCAATCCATTATTTATTTATTTATTTATTTATTTATTTATTTATTTGATTTGCCAATTGTTTACAAGATAATAAGTATAAGCGTATACATAGTTGTGAATACATGAAATGGGTACATATAAGAAAAATAAAAGAATAAGAGAAACAATAGGACAGGGACGGTAGGCACGTTGGTGCGCTTATGCACGCCCCCTACAGACCTCTTAGGAAGGGGGTGAGGTCAATAGTAGACAGTCTAAGGTTAAAGTTTTTGGGGTTTGGGGAAGAGACTACAGAGTCGGGTAGAGTATTCCAGACGTTGACCACTCTGTTGCTGAAGTCGTATTTCCTGCAATCAAGTTTGGTGCGGTTTACTTTGAGTTTGTATCTATTGTGTGCTCTTGTGTTGTTATGGTTGAAGCTGAAGTATTCATTGACAGGTAGGACATTGCAATGTATGATTTTATAAACCATGCTTAAGTCAGACCGAAGACGGCGTAATTCAAGGTTTTCTAGTTCTAGAATTTCAAGTCTGGTGGCATAAGGTATTCTACAACGAGTAGAAGAGTGGAGAACTCTCCTTGTGAAATATTTCTGGACTTTCTCAATTGTGCTAATATCAGATACGTAATGAGGGTTCCAGACTGATGAACTGTATTCGAGTATTGGTCTAGCAAATGTTTTGTATGCTCTGGTTAGTAGTGTGATATTACCAGAGAAAAAGCTACGTAGGATTAGGTTAACAACTCTTAATGCCTTTTTGGCTATGTAGTTGCAGTGGGCTCTAGCACTTAGATCATTAGAGATGAGTA